TGGCTAATTTTTGTACTTTTAGTGGAGATGGGGTTTCACTATATTTCCCAGGCTGGTCTTGAACTCCTGACCTCAGGTGATCTGCCTGCCTTAGCCTCCCAAAGTACTGGGATTACAGGCGTGAGCCACCGCGCCAGCCGAGGCTGGAGTCTTATCCCCATTTTACAGAGGACTCAGTCTGGGAAAGGTCAGCTGACTCACCAACCTCACGCAGCTAGTTAAGAGCGCACAGCTAGTTAAGAAGACACCACACGGTCTGAACTACACCACACTATCTCCCTAAGGTTGGATTTGATGACACTTTTGGTGTCTTCTAGGTCCAATTCTTGGTCTCATAAATGCCCTGATTTGCAGGGAACAGGACTCCCTCTTCTATTTCAAGGCACTTCCTCTGCGGTTTTGAGATCTAGAATTTCTGGCGCTCTGGGACTTTTCATGAGTTCGAGGAGTAGTATCTATGAGATGCTGGCGCATTAAGTGTCTAGTGTCTTGCAAGGCAGGGTGCCGGAGGGAGTGACCCATTTCAAGTCTTAGGCTCTGCAAGCCGCTGTGGGGGGAGGGAGGGAAACTGGTCGGAGGCGTGGTCACCGACCTGCGCTGGTCACGGAGCTGCTGCGCCTCCTGCTGATGCTGCTCCACCTCCGCGCGCAGCCGCCGCACCGCGTCCTGGAGCTGCGCGTTCTCCTCCCAGAGCCTGCATCCCTCGCCGGGACCCTGCCCAGCAGCGCCCGGTGGGAAGCCGGCCTGGCCCGGGCCACCCCGTACCTGAGAAGGCAACCGGGAGAGCTGTTTTCAGGAGGCGCAGGGGCGGACAAGGCACAGAGGGCCAGAGCTGTGCTGCGGCGAGATGGAGATCCACGGGTGCCCCGCGCAGGCTGGAGTCCGAGACAGGTTCCTGGGTCCTCTACAGGGACTCCCATCCAGTCTCTTAAACTTTTGCTGCTTTGGGAATTGGCCAGATCTGGCCCTTAGAGTTTAATAAAACTTCTGAGCCAAGAATGGGGCTTGCATCCAAATGAACACCAACCACACTCCACCTGCCCCAGGCCCTTGCCGTGCTCTCTACCCGAGGTGCCCGCCCAGCCTGCCTCCGTGTCCCTTAGTGAAGTGAAGTGTTCAGTGAACTGACACTGCCTCAGTGAAGCCTTCCCCACCTCTCAGAGGAGAACTGATAAGCTTTCTCTGATACCACCAAATATCACCAGCTCTGGCTCTGTAAGGGGTGACACGGAAGAGAATATGTTTTCACGCTGGTTTCCTTGGCTGGATTGGGAGCTATTCCTCACTTCGTCTTTCCAACCGTGTAGCACCTAGCATGGTGTATTCTATAGGTGCCACGTGAATGCTTGCTAAACAAAACTGTTCTAGAATGTCAGTAGTTCAGGTAGAAACACAAAGATTGCTGTCCAACAGCAAATGGGGTCAGATTTAATCTGTGACTAGTGAATGTTACAGTTTTCAAATTCAAATATGCTCGACGGCTTGTGCATGTATTTGCTCGCTGCACACAGTAATTGCACAGCTGGGCCCTGGGAGAATCTGTGACCCAGGTTCCATGTCTCTGCCTTCCTGCCCTGGGGTTGGCATGGTGGGGGATGCCTGTGGGCACCCGCTTGGCACTCTCACATGCCTAACCTGGAAGAACAAGAGCAGGGGGGTTACTGCCCTGTGGGGAGCACCCTTGACGAATGGGGGACAGAAACAGATGGAAAAATGCATTTCCCTCTTGGGTCTCTGGGTGGCAGAGATGAGAATTAGGTCCCAGCAGAACAGAACTCCACTTAGCTCAGTGGTGGCCAGCCTGGGGCTGCAGCCTGGCATTGTGTCCCCTCCCCTTTCCTTTATGACTTGCTTCCCCGGGCTCTTCCTCTTTGCTGACACCCCGGCATCTGTGCTCTGTGTGGGGTATCACCTGAGACCACACTTTCCTTCTAGACCATTCAGGGCTTCCCTCCTCTGGGGCAAAGGAGAGGGCTGGGGCACGGGTGGCCAGGTATCGTCTCATGCACTCAGTGCTCCCTGGCTTCCATCCAGAGCCCTCGGATGAACAGACTCCCTCCATGGTCCAGACCCCAGCTGTCACCATCCCACATTTCCCCTGTCCCCTTCCATTGGTACCAGAGGCTCCACTCATCTAAACAGTTAATGGAACACATTCTGTCTTCCCTCTGCTAGACTTAACCACTGGGCTAACCTGTGATTTGTCATTTGTTAATATTTTTCACATAAACCCAGAAATCACCTTCCTATGCTCAGCAACAGCTAAGTCAGGCACACGTGATTCCTATGTCCCCAGGACTTTCAGCAGGACTGGGCCACCGACAAATCCTCACCATCCACAGACACTGGTGGAGACCCTGCTGAGAGCCAGGAGTGGGCTGGGGAAGCGATGAGGCAGAACAGACGGGTTATCCTCTGAAGACTGCTGATCCAGTCTAGGCAACAAGGACATCCATGAAATGGCATGTCCCCAACAGTACCAGGCGGTAGATCCTAGAGCCAGCTGAGCTGTCTTGGGAGGATGTACTCCAGGATCTCAGAGCCAGAGGGAGCCACGGTGTGTAAGGGAAGCCCCCAGCATGGGATACGCCATGCAGCATTCCAGGCAGGAGGAGTTGCACAGGCAGAGGACAAAGGGAGGGTGCAGATGCCGGGTTTATGAACTGTGGGGAATATGGCAGGACCTATAGGTCATTGTCAGTGGTGGAGGCTTTTCAATGTCAAGTTGAAGCATTTGGAGCTTTCTCCAGTGGAAGCCACCAAAGGCTTTATGAAAAGTGGTGCTGGGTTTTGGGGGAATACCTGAAGCCGTACACCATGGGCTGGAGGGAGAGAGGGCTGCACTGTTAGGAGGTGACTGTGCACCCAGCTAGACCAGGAATGATGGACATGCTGGGAAGGGGCTGATGGGCAAAGTCTGAGCAGGAAGTGGAAGGAGAGTCGGCACTGAGCCTGGGTGACAACAAGGCTACTCCACTTAGGGGAACGGCAAGGTCTAGACGGAGCCTATCTGGGAGATGGTCTGAGAACTTCCCCTGCAGATCCAAAGGAGTGGCCCAGAGCAGCTGCGCTGAGGGCCTGTCTAGCACCAACACCCTGAGATACCATTGCATCTGAATTAAAAATGACATGCAGCACTTAAAACCTTTTTTTTTTTGCTTGACGAGACCCTGCAGTATCCCTCATGCCTGTGGAGAAGGGTCTTCCCACTTCAGGCAGTGGGCAGGGGGCAGGGGAACGACCGAGTACCCAGAGCCCATTCTTTTTTTTTTTTTTTTTTTTTTGAGACAGGGTCTTGCTGTGTTGCCCAGGCTGGAGTGCAGTGGTACAATCATAGCTCACTACACCCTGGAACTCCTAGGCTCAAGTGATCCTCCCGCCTCAGCCTCCCGAGCCAGGATTACAGGCATATGCCACCACACCCGGCTAATTTTAAAATTTTTGTAGAGATAGAGTCTGGGCTATGTTGCCTTGGCTGCTCTTGAAATCCTGGCCTCAAGAGGTCCTCTGGCTTTGCCTCCCAAAGTGCTGGATTCCAAGTGTGAGTCACTGCACTTGGCCTCAGATCCCGTCTTTTATGAGGCTTCTCACTGCGGCCCTGATGCTGCTCTGGGAAGGGTGTGGCTGGGGCAAGGGCAAGGGCAGGGGTGCTGACCTCTGTGGCAATGATGTGGTCCTCACTGTCCCCTGGACACTGGCTGCTGGCTTGACGTCGGCCCAGAGCCTTCAGCTCAGCCTGCAGTGCCTCCAAATCCTTCTGGTGCCCAGAGCAGGCAGCTTGCTGCTCCGACAGCTCCTGCCTGAGGGCCTCTGGAAGAGGGAGAGCAGTGGGAGTCAGGTGCTGGGTCTAGGCTGGAGCCTGTCTCATGGGGACAACAGTCTCTGGAGCAGGGATGGGTGGAGTGGGTGGCTGCTGAAGGCTTGTGGTGGCTTGAGTTCCCCAAAGGTTTTTCAAGATAACAGTAACCACAGGGCTATGTGTGAAAACTCTTCTCATTAAAGCCCCACAACCATCCTTTTTGTTATCAATTATACCCACTCCCCACCCCTGCTCCATTTTAGGATGAGACAGGGTGAGTACAATCCCCAAAGCCACACAGCTATTAAATGATGGAGTTGGGATTTCAAAAAGATTTCAAGTGGTTCTTCACTCTGAACCCCCTGCTTGCCCACTACTGGTTGGTTAGGATGGGTGGCAGGTGAGGGCAGGATGGCCTGTGCTCAGGGCCAAATCCTGTGGCAACGCTTGACCTCAGCATCAAGTTAGGAGACCAGGCAAAGAACAGGGAATTATCAAATGAGCCGACGGTCTCTTCTGGGGGTGATGGTCTCAACTTGGAAAACTTGAAATTTATGTCAACTATTTTTTTTTTGAGATGGAGTCTCACTCTGTCACACAGGCTGGAGTGCAGCGGCACGATCTTCGCTCATTGCAGCCTCTGCCTCCCAGGTTCAGGCGATTTTCCTGCCTCAGCCTCTTGAGTAGCTGGGACCAGGAGCGCACCACCACGCCCGACTAATTTTTGTATCTTTTTTTTATTAGAGATGGGGTTTCACTATTTTGGCCAGACTGATCTTGGACTCCTGACAAATGATCTGCCCATCATAGCCTCCCAAAGTGCTGTTACAGGCGTGAGCCACCATGCCCGGCCAATGTCAACTCTTAAGGAGACAAAATGTTCACAGGTTCTTCTTCCCATTGGTGGGAGGTCTTGGCTAGATCATGGAGGTAGGAGATGGCATGTCGTCCAAGTAGGATAGGGACTAAAATGTAATCACCCAGGAGAAATGTGTGCATTCTCTTAAACTCAGGGGACAGTAAGGCCAGAAACTCTAGCTTCCCCTGTGAGGATGGAGACTGATTTCCCGTAGTACACTAGTCACTTCCCAGCATGATGGAAACAATTATTTCAAAATGAATATTTTCTTATAGAGCAGACGCTAAATAGTAAGCTATTTCTTTAGAAAAAAAAAAAAGATACTTTCAAAGTGCTTGTAAATTTGATAGTTTACTTTTCTGTTAAGAACTTTTGAGACTCTGTATTTTAGTCATTGCAAATAACCTTTGAAACATTGTTCTGATCACTCTGTACTAAAACGGAGCACAGGTTTTAGTACAGAGCAAGTGCTCAACGTGTATTTGTAAAATAAACAAATGATCTTTAGAGTGAAAATGGATGATGTGGTAAAAGTGTATTAGTTATAAAAGCTTTCCTGTAAGCTTACTAACCTTGTCTCAAAGGTTAACTATATTAAACACATGTAAAAGCTTAGTATATTTGGATGATATTAAGATGAAAAATTTACTTGTTCATCGTTTCTCTCCAGCAAAATTTTGATAAAGTGATTTCTATGGCTTATTTTCTTTCTTTTTTTTTTTTTAAATCTCTAAACATAACCCCATTTTTTGAAAACTGTTATCACAAGATATATGTAATAAAACTCTTTAGCAAATAATAAATTATAGGGTATTAATTCTTTACCCTCCTCCTTCTCTCACACCTTCCCATCATTCATCTATCTGTCCACCTATCCATCTATCCACTGACCCATCTATCCCTCTATCCACTTGCCCATTCATTCACCCATCCACTTATCTACCCATCCACCCATTCACCATCTATCCGTCTATCTATTCATCCATCAATCTGCCTACCTGTCTGCCCAAGTATCTGTGTACCCTTCTGTCTATCCATTCATCCATCCACCCATCAATTGCCCACCCAATCATCTATCCATCCTTCCTCCTGTCCATCCATCCACCCATTTTTCTGTCTTCCATCTGTCAACCCAGCCGCCCATCTAACCACACACCCATTCACCTGTCTACCCACCCACCCATTCATCCTCCATCCATCTGTTCATCTATCCATCTAGCATGTCAGGATTCCAACCCTCTAGTAAACACCGGCCCTCCCTGTGCTCTCACAGTGACCTATAGTATTACAGGTCAGTTGTGTCTCACACAGATATTAGAAGAGGAAAATCAGCACCAGGATTATCTCATATCAATCTGCCATTGCCACAGGTGCTCGCACCTTCCCATGAAGCCTACGATTTGTTGTCATCACAGAGTCAACAAAGCCCCTTCTTCCCAGGACTGGTGCTGAGAAGCCCAGCCTTTCCCCAGGCTCTTTCCAGGGATCTCTCTGGATTCTTCTATTAATTTATTTATGAAACAGAGTCTCAGTCTGTCAGCCAGGCTAAAGTGCAGTAGCATGATGTCAGCTCACTGCAACCTCTGCCTCCCAGGTTCAAGCAATTCTCCTGTCTCAGCCTCCCGAGTAGCTGGGACTACAGGCGCATGCCTGGCTAATTTTTGTATTTTAGTAGAGACGGGATTTCACCATCTTGGTCAGACTGGTCTTGGACTCCTGACCTCATGATCCACCCACCTCAGCCTCCCAAAGCACTGGGATTACAGGTGTGAGCCACCGCAGCCGGCCTCCCGATTATTTTCTTCGGGGAAGAACAGGGCTGCTGTGGAGTCAGAAAAGCCAGGGAAGGGGCAGCAGGGACATCTAAACTGGCAGCTGCTGCTGAGTGTTGGAATCACCAGAGTGTCCGGCCTGACCCGTACATGGGGAGCCTTGGACCTGAGCCATGTGGCACAGCTTGTGTTTTATCTTTACATGCTGCTAACTCCAGCATTTCCCGTGTGGACACCGCCATTCCAGGGTAGCTGCTAACTGGGAAGTCTACAAAACTCTTTCCTTCCTGCTACTCACACCACTTCCTCAAAAACATGCAGTCAGTGGGTCACGTTTTCTAATGAGAACTCAACCAAGCAGCAAGATAGAGCCTACTCACTTAGGGGCATACAGAAAATGCTCTCCTCCAGAATTCTCTTTTTACTTTTTTTCCTAATTAATTTTCTTTGTAGAGATGGGGTCTTGCTATGTTGTCCAGGCTTGTCTCCAGCTACTGGCCTTAAGTCATCCTCTCTCACCTTGGCCTCCCAAAGTGCTGGGACTACAGGCATGAGTCACCACACTCAGCACCCAGAAATCTCTTAAGGAGAGCCCTGTCTAGGTTTGGAAGAAATATTTAATAAAGGCAACATGATCTTTAGTGTTCTGCATGAAATGATGAGACGTATTTGTCTTGCTCTTAAGGGTGACAGGAAAGATGAGAATGAAGGAGAAAATGAGTGACAGGAATGATCTACAAAAATGGAGAGAGATCTCCAGAGTCAGGCATGCAGCACTGGAATCTTCAGTCATCATTTAACAGGAACACTCGCATAGCACTTACTGCATGCCAGGCTGTATACTCATGTAATCGTCATTACAGCCCAATGAGGTGAATGCTATTATGATCCTCATTTTGTAGATGGGAGACTGAGGCACAGAGCAGTTAAGCAACCCCCTACCCAAAGCCACACAGCTAGTGAATGTCAGAGCTGCGCTTGACACCCAGGCAGTTTGGCTCTAGGGATCTTAACTGCCTCTGTTAATTTCCAAGATGCTGGGTGTGAGTGGTTTTATTGATGTGGCAACTGAAAAAGGGCAGAGTTTTGGGCTGGGGAAGATGTTGGGGCAGTCAGAGAAAGCAGCGTGTGGAGGCCTGAGAGCCCCCAGTTTGTAGAAATCTTCAGAGCAGAAACGAGAGGTTGAGGCAATGCCGTGAAACTCACATGAAGGCTCAGAGATCTGGGTTATATGCAATAATAATGATGATGATGATGACAGTATCTACATTCACTGGGCTCATGTTATATGCTAGGCACTTCGTATTTAATATCTCATTTAATCCACAGAGTGAGCCCATGAGGTAGGGACAATTGTAATTCCATTTTATAAAAAAGGGAAATGAGGATCACACTGAGCCATCCCAGGTCTCACACCTAGTTGATGGCAGAGCCAGGACTGTCCCCGACCTGTGTGCCCGAGAGCCCTGGAGCCCCGCCCTCAGCTTGTCACTAGTTTCTACGTGCAGACCCTGCAGATGGCCGGGCCCTCCCCGGTGCACTGTTGGAGTATACCTAGCAGCAGGGCCTGCTGGGCCTGCATCCTCTCACGCTCCTCCTGCAGCTCTTGCCTGGCCTTTTCCTCCAAGGCCTGGAGCTCCAGCCGGTGCGACTGGTGTTGGATCTGGAGGCTGTGGCTGGATTCCTTCTTCAAGCGTTCCTCTGTGGCCTGTGGGAAACAGTGTGGACAAGGAGGCATGTGGGGACACGTGGTCACAGGGTTGGGGGACTCGACTCCTTTGCCAAGCTCTTCTGAGCCAGGGTGGTCTGAAGGCTTGCACTCTCCCATGGAGGGCTTATCAGGCTACAGAGAACGCTGTACAATGGCCCGGCCACAGCAGCCATTTTGCCCCGTGTGAACCCGCCCTCTTCCACAGCTGATTGGGCCAGAGCGGACACCCGTTCCAAACTGGGCCAATCAAAGTTCCTTTAATGGAAATTTGGTATGAAGAGGTGGGGGACAGAGAGAGCCAAAGAGACTGACAGATACTCTGTGGCTCCAAATTTACTGTACTCGGGAGCTCTGAGGTAATATCTGATATCCGCCCCAGGACGAGTGGGGTGGAGGCAGCCCAGGGCTGGTGTGCAGAGCAGAGCAGAAATGCCATGGGGAGGAGGGAGGGTCCCTACAGCTCTTGTTTGGTCCTGAGAACTAGCTGTGTCTCTGTCCTTGGGTTCATATTCACTCATTCTTTCTTTCCCTATTTTTTATTTTTGGTTCATTCATGCTTTCCCTCAACAAACATTCATTTACTGAAGTCCCACTGTGTGTCAAACACCCGAAGCAGTTTCTGTGAGCAGCTGTATAAACTTTACTAAGTGTCTCTTCACTGCCTGCCTAACGTCACTCAAGCTGGTTTCTGTGAGAGGTACAAAAACAGCCTGTAAGATGTCCATGTCTGAATCCCTGAAAACCGAGGATGTTACCTTACATGGTCAAAGGGACTTTGCAGAGGTGATTAAGGATCTTAGACGGGAGATTACCCTGAATTATCTGGGTGGGGCTCAGTCACAAGAGGGCTGTAGGAGGGTTGGTGAGAAAAGGGTTGATGGTGGAAGCAGAGGTCAGAGAGAAAGAAAGGGGGAGAGAGAGGGAGAGGAGAGAGAGCACGCGATGTGAAGATGCTATGCTTTTGGCTTTGATAATGCAGCAAGAGACCAGGAGCCAAGGAACTCAGGCAGCCTCTAGAAGTCGGAAAAGACAAAGACACAGATTCTCCCCTGGAGCCTTTAGAAGGAACCAGACCTGCCAATTCCATGATTCTTAGATTTCTGACCTTCAGAACTGTCAGATAATAAATCCGTGTTGTTTCAAACCACCAAGCTTGTGCTAATTTGTTACAGCAGCAATAGGAAACTAATATAGTTTCTGGGTTTTTTTTCCCCCCAGTTAGAAGAGTTTCAGTTAATACATAGCCCCAGGTTTTAGATGAGGAAATGAGAGGTGGGCATTGGAGAGATGAATTTGGTTTCCCAGGGTCGCACAGAAAAGATAGAGAAATTATTATCCCTTCATCTTTTTTAACTCTTTTTTTATATAGAGGGAGGATCTCACTATGTTACCCAGGCTAGTCTCAAACTCCTGAGCTCAAGCAATCCTCCTGCTTAGCCTCCTGAAGTATTGGGATTACAGGCATGAGCCATCATGCCCAGGCACCCATCCCTGCTGCCATCTTTTTTAACAGAGCTGGAAACTGTGGCTAGAAAGGTAGTAGACCTGCCTGTAGACAGGTGATGATAGAGGCAGGATTCTGACCTATGAGTGGTGGAGTCCAGGGCCCAAGCCCTTTCCATTCACTCAGGCAGTGGAAATTTCATCAAATTTCCTCTGGGATTTCACCAAATACATGAGGCTCCTGTGAGGGAAGAACTCAACCATCTTTGCACCCAAGTTGGCCTCCTGAACTCAGCAGGTCATGTGGAAGCTTGCCTTAGCCTGTCTCTGCCACCTCTCACAGGGGATGGCAATAGGGAACTGGTCTCACTCCTCCCAGGGGAAAGTCAGTCATTCTGTGGCAAGTTTCTTTTTCTTTTCTTTTTTTGAGACAGGGTCTCACTCTGTTGCCCAGCTGGTGGTGCGATCACGGCTCCCTGCAGCCTTGACCTCTCAGGCCCAAGTGATCCCCCGACCCCAGCCTCTTAAGTAGCTGAGACCACAGATGCTCACCACTACACCTGGCTAATTTTCTGTAGAACTTGGGTCTCCCTATGTTGCCCAGGCAAACTTCAAACTCCTGGCCTCAAATGGTCCTCCTGCCTTGACCTCCCGAAGTGCTGGGATGACAGGCGTGAACCACCATGTCTGGTTGCAAGTTTATTTAAAAAAACAGAAAAGCTTCATACTTTTCAAATTCTCTGATACCTTCCTCCTCCTCCCCTTGTTGCAAGGCTCAGAGAACACCAATTGGTGACATTTTTATCCCTAGGGAAATGGGGATGGAGAACTTGAAGCCTGGGCTTTGCAAGAGGGAGCCAAATTCTCTCACTCTTACCCAGCCTCTCTCCATCTCAGGTGGCAACCAAAGATTCAGGTCAGCACCGCCCACCCACTTGCTCAGAAGCCTTTGACAGTGAGGATCACACATGCTGCAGCAGCACCCAGGGCTCAGGGCAAGCTGGGGACTCATTCCTGGTGAATTTCTCCAGCTGCTATGGGAGGGTTACCCTGCTCTTGTTGTGGCCAGTTTGGGGCCTCCTAAGGGACCCAGTTTCACCTTGTTTCTCTAAAAGTCTCATACTATATAATGTCTCTATTCCCAGTGCTTCCAAATACCTTAGGCAACTACCTCATGGCTACCACCCACTGATCCCAGCAAACTGTTTGAGGGGCTGTCTTTTCCCCTATAGGCGAACTATGTAAGGACAGAGAGTGTGGTAATCATCTGGTATCTCCACAGCTCTGCATGATGGCAGCTCACAGTAGCTACTCAATAAATGCCAGCAGAATAGATGAGTGAATAACAAAAATGAACCCTTTAAAAACTGAGCTGTTACTCAGCCATGCACTGTTCTAAGTACTTTACATGTATTATCTATTTTGATCTTCATAACCATCTTATAAGATCTATACTACCATCAATCATTTTATAAATGAGGAAACTGAGTCACAAAGAAGCTAGAAGACTTGAGCTCCCATACTTTGTAAATGGCAGATCCAGGACTTGAACCCAGGCAGCCCACTCATAATTGCTGACACAGGAACTGGGGCAGAGTGTCCTTTCACTTGCCCTTGGCTAGGACTCAGACCTCATGGGTCCAACTCCCCAGAGCACCTGGAACTCCCCGCCTCAGGTGAATGAAGCCTCCTGCCCTCTCTGCCTCCTGCGAGAAATTGGGGTCCGCAGCATGGAGGAATAAAACTCAGGCATACACGACGGTCAGCATCACCCAGCAGTGAATACACCTGGGATCTCCCCAGCCTGAGCTCTTGAAGATTGTAAGCCAAAATGGAAAGACTTAGAAGAACAAAAGAAATAAGGAAACTGACTTTTTTTTTTTTTTTGAGCATCTAGTAAGTGCCAGGCAGTCCATGTGCATTATTTCCTTTCTTTCTTTCTTTGTTTTGATTTGAGATGGAGTCTGCTGTGTTGCCCAGGCTGGAGTACAATGGTGTGATCTCAGCTCACTGCAATCTCTGCCTCCCAGGTTCAAGCGATTCTCCTGCCTCAGCCTTCTGAGTAGATAGGATTACAGGTGTGTGTCACGATGCCCGACTAATTTTTGTATTTTTAGTAGAGATGAGGTTTCACCATGTTGGCTGAGCTGGTCTCGAACGCCTGGCCCCAAGTGGTCTGCTCACCTTGGCCCTCCCACAATGCTGGGATTATGGGCATGGGCCACCGTGCTCAACTTTCTTTCTTTTTTTAAAGCTTCTTTTACATTGTTATCAGGGTAATATGTACACATAGTAAAGAGCCAAATAGTATTAAAAGAAAGGAAAATAAGCAGCCTCCTAGCTCTTTCTTCCTCCCTCTCTGTCTCCTGCTCTCTGGAGGCAGCTGTTGTCAACTCCTTGTTTCTTGTGGTATTTACCAGCATTAAAAAGACAGTGTTTCCATTCTACTGTATCTTATTTTTGAGATTATAAATTGTCTTCCCATTATAGTAGATGAGGATTTTAGGTCTCATACACTCTACCTCTTCCATTGCTTATACATAGTTGTGTTTCTTTTTCTTTTTTTTTTTTGAGACAGAGTTTTGCTCTTGTTGCTCAGGCTGGAGTGCAATGGCGCGATCTTGGCTTACTGCAACCTCTGCCTCCTGGGTTCAAGCGATTCTCCTGACTCAGCCTTCCGAGTAATTGAAATTACAGGCATGTGCCACCATGCCCAGCTAATTTTTTGTATTTTTAGTAAAGGCAGGGTTTCTCCATGTTGGTCAGGCTGGTCTCGAACTCCTGACCTCATGACCGTCCACCTCAGTCTCCCAAAGTGCTGGGATTACAGGTGTGAGTCCCTGCGCCCAGCTCTATGTTGCTTTTTTAATATGTTGAAGTACACCGCATATTTTAAATATTGAGAATATGTAAATATTATGCACCATTGAGCTAAAAAAGTTACTATGATTGAATTTCTGCCTTGTGCAACTTTTTGTTTTTCTTGCTTTAATAACTGTTGCATTTTTTATTTGTTTAGTTTCCTTTGGCTATCTGGTGAAGTCTTCCTACAACTTCTAAATGCTTTGTACAACACTCAGTGCAATTTTCTACATGGCCAAATCTATCAGAGAATCCATCAGTTCTGCTTTCCCCGGGAGACAGCTCTTCCAGAGCCCTCGGTTCCTTGCTGCAGCCTGGACTGAGCTATTGGCCAGCGGCTAAGCCAGCCTCCTCAAACCTTCCTTCTTGCTTCTGCATTGAACCCCGGTATCCCAGCTCTCTTTTATTCCCTTTTCCTTGGTTTGCTCCCTTGTTTTTGTGGGACACATTTTCAAATAGCTGCTTGAGAGAAAACAGTGTTTAAGCCAGGCCACAAGGTAGAAGGTTCTGGATGAAACGCAGCCGAACCACCTGCCAGGTTATCCGTTGTTGTATACCACGCCACAGTTTTCCAAACCCTTGGAAAGGTCAAGGTCTTTGTGGCTGAGCTGTTTTTTTGTTTGTTTGTTTTTGTTTTTTGAGACAGAGTCTTGCTCTGTCTCCCAGGCTAGAATGCAATGGCACAATCTCAGCTCACTGCAACCTCCACTTCCAGGTTCAAGTGATTCTCATGCCTCAGCATCCCAAGTAGCTGGGATTACAGGCACTTGCCACCATGCCTGGCTAATTTTTGTACTTTTATTTATTTTTCCTTTTTTTTTTTTTGTCATGAAAGCAAATCGTTCTTATGTCACCAAGGTCACAAGCAGGTGGGGAACGTAGCACAAGAAGCCCAGCAGACCTAGTCCACTTCCTTGCTTTGCCACTTACAAGCTGTGTGACCCTAAGCAAGTTACAAAATCTCTCTGAGCCTCTTTCCTCATCTGGAAAAAGAGAATACAATAATAACGACCTGGAAAGATTCTCGGGTGGGGGGCGGGGATGGAGGTCATGTAGAAAAGGGACGGCTTTGTGCATGGCCGTACCCACCTAGCGGGTGCCCAGCAGAGTAGACCGCACAGTCATCCCCTCACCTTGAGTTCCTGATGTCTGGCCTTCTCCAGCATGCGCAGGGCTCTCTGGTGGGAAGCCTCGAGTTGGGCTTTCACGGCCTGGTTCTGCTGAGTGCTCTCCTGGAGCTCACGCTGCAGCTTCTCCCTCTCGAGGTCCGAGAGCTGCTTGAGTGCCTGCAGGTCCTCCCTGTAGTTGCTAGCGCACTGCTCCAGAACCTGCTGCATCTGCAAGACCTGTGCACCAGGCGTGCTGCCCTCAGCCTAAGCCCCTGGCCTTTCCTGGGATTTTTTTTTTTTTTAATGAAAGCTTTCTAAGTGTCACCTCCATGCAGCTGAGCCTCCTCTGTCTGTAGGGACACAGGGGATGGAAGCTGCAAGTTTTAAGGACCTGAGGGTGGCCAGTCCTCCCCGGGACCCCTCAACTAGAGCCACAAATGCCAGGAAAGAGGAAAAGAGGGGTGGGGACACCAACCTTCCAAGAGAAATCAAGAGAGGACTGGAATACCCTCCAGGGACCCATGTGGCGGCCCCCCTCCTCCTTCAGGTGCTTGCTCGAATCTGGCTTCCTCCCTGAGGCTCCTCCTGACAGCCTCCTGCAGTACTACCTCCTCTACCCCCGGCCCCTGTCACAGGGAAGCCTCCCAGAACCCTCTGCCCTGCTCTAGTTTTCTTTTCTTTCTTTCTTTCTTTTTTTTTTGAGATGGAGTTTCACTCAGTGGCTCAGGCTAGAGTCAGTGGCATGATCTCAGCTCACTGCAACCTCCACCTCCTAGGTTCAAGCTATTCTCCTGCCTCAACCTCCTAGTAGCTGGGATTACAGGCACCCACCACCATGCCCAGCCAATTTTTTTGAATTTTTAGTAGAGACAGGGTTTCACCATGTTGGCCAGATTGGTCCCAAACCCTTGACCTCAAATGATTCGCCTGCCGTGGCCTCCCAAAGTGCTGGGATTTCAGGCGTGAGCCACCACACTCAGCTTTTCTTTTTCCTGAGTCATCATTACCTTAGAATCAACTACGTGATTTACTAACTTCTTATGTCGACCATTTATTTGTCTGTTTCCACCTCCATTGCTAAAATATACATATTCTTCTTGTGACATGGAATCTCACTCTGTCACCAGGCTAGAGTGCAGTAGTATGTTCTTGGCTAATGGCAACCTCTGCCCCCCAGGTTCAAAGGATTCTTCTGCCTCAGCCACCAGAGTAGCTAGGACTATAGGCACGTGCCGGCACGCACCATCGTGCCCGGCTAATTTTTGTATTTTTAGTGGAGACGCGATTTTACCATATTGGCCAGGCTGGTCTCAAACTCCTGAACTCGTGACCTACCCTCTTCAGCCTCCCAAAGTGCTTGGATTATAGGCGTGAGCAAACACACCCAGCCAAATTGTATATATTCTTTGTATATAAAATATGAGACAGGATCTTGCTTTGTTGCCCAGGCTGGAGTGCAGTGGTGTGATCTCAGCTCCCTGCAACCTCTGCCTCCTGAGTTCAAGTGATTCTTCTGCCCCAGCCTCCCAAGTAGCTGGGACTACAGGCATGTGCCACCACACCCAGCTAATTTTTGTATTTTTACTGGAGACGGGTTTCACCACATTGACCAGGCTGATCTCAAACTCCTGAGCTCGTGACCTGCCCACCTCAGCCTTCCAAAGTGTTGGGATTACAGGCGTGAGCCACCATGCCTGGCCAAAATATACATATTCTTTATATATAAAATATGATATCTTTTTTTTGGAGGTAGAATCTCACTTTGTTGCCCAGTCTGGAGTGCAGTGGTGTGATCACCGCCCAAGGCAGCCTCAAACTCCTGAGCTCAAGCAACCCTCCCACCTCAGCCTCCTGAGTAGCTGGGAGTACAGACACATGCCACAACACCCGGTAATTTTTTTCATTTTTTCTAGAGACGGAGTCTTGCTATGTTGCCCTGGTTGGTCTTGAACTCCTAGGCTCAAGCGGTCCTCCTGCCTAGGCCTCCCAAAGTGCTGGGATTACAGGTGTGAACCACCACATCTGGCCATAAAATGTAAGGTATTTTGTCTGGCTTCTGCATTGATGAATCATCAGTGGCTCATAGTAAGTACTCTTTAGCACAACAGGTTTTTTTTTTTCTTTTTTTGAGACACAGTCACTCAGGCTGGAGTACAGTGGCGTGATCTTGGCTCACTGCAACCTCTGCCTCCCAGGTTTAAGTGATTCTCCTGCCTCAGCCTCCCGAGTAGCTGGGATTACAAGCATGTGCCATCACACCCGGCTAATTTTTGTATTTTTAGTAGAGATGCAGTTTTACCGTGTTAGCCAGGCTGGTCTTGAACTCCTCACCTCCAGTGGTCTGCCCCCCATTGGTCTCTCCAAGTGCTGGGATTACAGGTGTGAGTCACCATGCCCAGCTGCAGCAGGTTTTGAATGAATGAATAAATAAAACCAAGAATCTCATTTTGCCCTGGTCCTGTAATGCCTTCTTAGCTTGGATGTGCATGAGGCCCTGAATGCATTTCTAAGTTTATAAAAAGGAGAAGGCAAGATCTCAGGAAAGTGGCATCCCCACTAGGGCTGTCCTACCTGGGCTTGCAGTTTGGCCTTCTGGCTTTGCCAGTCCTCCTGTAGATGCTGGATTTCGGATGTGTTCTCCTTCAACAAAGAGTCCAGTGGAGGTTGCGGGTCACTTCCCTCCTTGAGGGACACTTTGATCCTTTGAAGACAGGGATGCCACAATCACAAACAATCCTAGGGCTGGGAATGACACTACCCCTCTGATAATGTGCCAGCCACTCTGCCTGGGAGGAGGGACCTCTGATAGCGGTTAGTGGGGGTGAGAAACATCTTACTTGACTTTCAAAAAGCAACCTGCCATATAAAGTGTATTATTACACTTAGGTTACAATCAGTATTTAGCAGGAACCATCTAATATCTGTTCTAGTGGGTTCTTAATAAATGATGACCAACTGTCAGAATGACTGAGAGCTTAGAGTTACTGATATGGGGTTTCTGGGGACTCCAAAAAAGAGATCTCTATGGTCTTAATTTTGCAGCTCTTTCTGCATATATAAAAACAACAACACTTCACCTTAATGCAGTCTTCTGCATTTTTCAAAGCATGGTCACACCTTTTACTGGCATCCCAAGTACAAATAGGGATATCACAAATAGGCCTTCATATATGTAGCGTGAACAAGGAAATGCTAGTTTAAAGCTGCAGGAGTTTCTACATTCTAGGTAAGATGCTGACAGGTGTCTTTAGAGGAGGACACCAGAGCTCCCTTCCTTAATTCTGACCTTTTGAACCAACTGAGAATTTCGAGTGTGATTGGTTTAGGTTGGGATGTTAAGTGTTTATCTTGTTTGAAAATGTAAAAGAATGCCACATGGTGGGCCTCTCTGTAGAGACTGCCAGGTATGAGTGGCATCTGCTTCCCCTGACAAGGACATCAGGCCACAGCTCCAGAGGTGGGGGTGAGGGTCTTGGGCTGTGAGAAAAGGCTATGAAAAGGGGCACTCTGCTTGGCAGAGGTGAGAAGGCCCAGGCTGGGGGGTTAAGTATGAGAGAGACAATGGGGACTTCTGAAAGGAAAGGCAGGATGCTAGAAGCAGCGTAGGAAGGTGGCCAAGAGGATGGTGCAAGAGCCAGACCACCCGGCTCCAAATTCCAGCTCTGCAACCCGCTCACTATGGGGCCTTGGTGAGGTCTTTAAACTCCCTGGGCCTGAGCTTCCTCCTCTATAGCATAAGGTTAATAAGGCTACCTTTTTCATAAGGATTAATAGAGTCAATATCTATAAAGTACTTAAAACATTGTCTGGCACATAGTAAGAATTACATAAAGAACTAATTATGAGCCAGGGGCAGTGGTGCATGCCTATAATCCCAGCACTTTGGGAGGCAGAGGCTGGGGGATCACCTGAAGTCAGGAGTTCAAGACCAGCCTGGCCAATATGATGAAACCCATCTCTACTAAAAATACAAAAAATTAGCCAAGTATGGTCGTGCATGCCTGTAGTCCCAGCTACTCAGGAGGCTGAGGCAGGAGAATCGCTTGAACCCAGGAGGTGGAGGTTGCAGTGAACTGAGATTGCACCATTCCATTCCAGTCTGGGCAATAAGAGTGAAACTCTGTCTCAAAAAAAAACAAAAACAAAAACAAAAACCTACACATATTAAAAGAGAGAAGTTTTTTTTCTCTGCATTCTGATTCTCTTAGTTATCCTCAAGCCTTTCAAAGGTGTGCAAAACATAGCCACCTTTAAGGAACAATGTAGCAGGGATACCTGGGTTTGAAACCAACCCAATGGTTAGGAGAAGGCCAGAGAAACTGGAAGAGCAGCCTAGGGCAAGAGTGACAGGTGGCATCACCAGGTAAGCGCTCCTGGTGAATCCCTGTGGAGGGACTGAACTTTCTCTCAGACTAGGGCTCAGTTTATTATTATTTTTAATGTTTTCTTCAAGTAAAATTTAGATATAGTGAAGTGCACAGATTCACTATAAGTGTACAATTCAGTGAGTTTTGACAAATATATAAAACTATGAAACCAATATCTCAATCAAAATACAGAACATTTTCATTAACCAAACATTTTCCTTGCAGCCAAGCTTTGATTTCCACAGATCACTTTTGCTTGAGCTTAAGTGTCGTACAAACTGAATCATGTGGTGGCATTCTTTTGTTTCCAGGTTATGTTGCTCCCCCTCATGTCTTTGGGCCTCATGCATGTTGTTGTGTATGTCAGCAACTCATTCTTTTTGCTGCTGTGTAGTATTCCATTACATGAATGCACTGCAATTTGTTTACCCATTTCTCTACTGATAGACATTTGGGTTGTTTATGCTTGTGGGCTATCCTAAATAAAGCTGCTGGAAATAAACCTGTCCAAGGATTTTTGTAGGTATATGTTTTTCATTTCTTTCTTTCTTTTTTTTATGAGATGGAGTCTCACACTGTTGCACAGGCTAGAGTGCAGTGGCGCCGTCTCGGCTCACTGCAACCTCTGTCTCCTGGATTCATGCCATTGTCCTGCCTCAGCCTCCCACGTAGCTGGGATTACAGGCATGTGCCACCATGCCTGGCTAATTTTTGTATTGTTTAGTAGAGACAAGGTTTTACCATGTTGGCCAGAATGGTCTTGAACTCCTGTCCTCAGGTTATCCACTCACCTTGGCCTCCTAAAGTGCTGGAATTACAGGCATGAGACACAGTGCCCAGCAATGTTTTTCATTCTTTTGCTTAAATAGCTAAAAGTGGAATTGCTGGTAGGTATGTGCTTAATGTTCTAAGAAACAATCAAATAGCTTTCTAAGTTGATTGTACAATTTTAGGCCCTGCCAGTAATATATGAGAGTTCCAGTTGCTCTGGATTGTTGCCAACATTTTGTGTTGTCAGACTTCTTAATTTTAGCCATTCCATTGGTGGGAAATGGTATCTCACTGTTGTGGTAAGTTGCGTTTTCCTGATGACTAATGATGTTAAGCTCGTGTTCATGTGCTTACAAGCCACTTATATATCTTTTTTTTTTTTTTGGGACAGGGTCTTGCTCTGTAGCCCAGGCTGGAGTACAGAGGCATGATCATGGCTTGCTGCTGCCTCAACCTTCTGGGCTCAAGCAATCCTCCCACCTCAGCCTCTTAAGTAGCTGGGACTGCAGGCGTATACCACCATGCTCAGCTAATTTTTGTATTTTTTGTAGAGACCACGTTTTGCCCTGTTGCCCAGCTGGTCTTGAACTCCTGGGCTCAAGCAATCCACTTGCCTTGGCCTTCCAAAGTGCTGAGATTACAGACATGAGCCACCATGCCCGGCCTCACATATATCTTTTTAGGGAATTGATTGTTCAAGTATTTTGTCCATTTAAAAAATAGGTTTGCAGCACATGACAAAGATGCCCTCTCTCACTCCTATTCAACATAGTATTGGAAGTTCTGGCCATGGCAGTCAGGCAAGAGAAAGAAATAAAGGGCATCCAAATAGAGAGAAAGTCAAACTATTCCTGTTTGTAGACGACATGATCCTATAACTAGAAAACTCATAGTCTCAGCCCAAAAGCTCCTTATGCTGATAAACATCTTGAGACTTCACGAAAGTCTCAGGACACAAAATTGATGTGCAAAAATCACTAACATTCCTATATACCAACAACATTCAAGCTGAGAGCCAAATCAGGAAGACAATCCCATTCACAACTCTCTCTCTCTCTCTCTCTCTCTCACACACACACACACACACACACACACACACACACACACACACACACACACACACACACACATACAAATATGGAAGGAATACAGCTAACTGGGGAGGTGAAAGACCTCTACAAGGAGAACTGCAAAACACTGCTCAAATAAATCAGAAATGACACAAACAAATGGAAAAGCATTCCATGTTCATGGATAGGAAGAATCAATATTGTTAAATGAACACACTGCCTAAAGCAATTTATAGATTAAATGCTATTCCTATTGAACTACCATTGACATTTTTCACAGAACTAGAAACAGCTATTTTACAATTCATATGGAACCAAGAAAGAGCCCAAATACCCAAGGTAATCTTTAGCAAAAAGAACAAAATTGGAGGTATCATGCTACCTGACTTCAAACTATACTGCAGGACTACAGTAACCAGAAGAGCACGGTACTGGTACTAAAACAGATTAGACCAATGGAACATAATAGAGAACCCAGAAATAAAGCCACACACCTACAACTATCTGATCTTTGACAAACCTGGCAGAAACAAGCAATGAGGGAAGAATTCCCTATTCGATAAATGGTGCTGGGATAATGGCACAATTTGCAGAAGAGTGAAACTGGACCCCTTCCTTATATCATATACGAAAGTTAACTTAAGTCCAGGCATGGTGGCTCATGCCTATAACCCCAACACTTTGGGGTTATAGTAGAAGGATCGGTCAAGGCCAGCCTGGGGAACATAGTGAGACCCTGTCTCTAAAAAAAAAATAATAACTCAAAGACTTAAATGTAGAACCCAAAACTATAAAAACTCTGGAAGACAACCTAGCCAATATCATTCTGGACATAGGAACAGGCAAAGATTTCATGATGAAGACACTAAAAGCAATAGCAACAAAAGCAACAATTGACAAATGGAATACAATTGAACTAAAGAGCTTCTGCACAGCAAAGGAGACTATCAACAGAGAGAACAAACAATTTGCAGAATGGAGAGAAAGATGTGCAAACCATGCACCTGACAAAGGTCTAATATCCAGCATCTGTGAGGAACTCAAACAAGTTTATAAGAAAAAAACAAGCAATCCCATTAAAAAAAAGTGGGCAAAGGACATGAACAGACACTTTTTAAAAGGAGACATACATGTGACCAAAAATCATATGAAAAACAGCTCAACGTCACTGATCATTAGAGAAATGTAAATAGCATTTCACATCAGTCAGAATGGCTACTATTAAAAAGTCAAAAAAATAACAGATGCTGGTGAGGTCATGGAGAAAAAGGAATGCTTATACACTGTTGGTGGGAGTGTAAATTAGTTCAGCCATTGTGGAAGACAGAGTGGTGATTCCTCAAAGACCTAGAGGCAGAAATACCATTTGCCCCAGCAATCCCATTACTGGGTATATACCCAAAGGAACATAAAACATTCTATTATAAAGATACTTGCACACATATGTTCACTGCAGTAAAATTCACAATAGCAAGGACATGGAATCAACCTAAATGCCCATCAATGATAGATTGGATGAAAAAAAATGTGGTACATATACACCATGGAATACTTTGCAGTCATAAAGAATGAGATCATGTCCTTTGCAGGAACATGGATGGAGCTGGAGGCCATTATCCTTAGCAAACTAACACAGGAACAGAAAACAAAATGCCACATGTTCTTACTTTTATAAGTGAAGTTAAATGATGAGAACACATGGACACATAGAGGGAACAGACACTGGGGCCTACCTGAGGGTGGAGAGTGGAGAGTGGAAGGAGGGAGAGGATTGGAAAAAATAACTAATGTGTATTAGGCTTAATACCTGGGTGACAAAATAATCTGCAATCAAAACCCCTGTAACACAAGTTTACCTATATAACGAAACTACATGAGAACTCTTGAACTTAAAAGTTAAATTAAAAAACAAATAGGTTTGTCTGTTTATTACTGATTTATAAGAGTTATTTATATATTCTGAATACAGATGGGATATTTTAACCCAGTCTGTGGCTTGTCTATTCATTTTTAGGTTTTTTTTTTTTTTTGAGACAGAGTCTCACTCTGTTGCCAGGTGCCAGGCTGGAGTGCAGTGGCGTGATTTCGGCTCATTGCAACCTCTGTCTCCCGGGTTCAAGCAATACTCCTGCCTCAGTCTCCCAAGTAGCTGGGACTACAGGTGCACACCACCACGCCCAGCTAATTTTTGTATTTTAGTGGAGACGTGGTTTCACTCTGTTGGCCAGGATGGTCTCGATCTCTTGACCTCGTGATCCACCTGTCTTGGCCTCCCAAAGTGCTGAGATTACAGGCGTGAGCCACCGTGCCCGGCCAAGTTTTTTTTTTTAAAAAAAGCAGAACTTTCCATTTTGATGAAAAACAATTTATTAATTTTCCTATGATAATTAGTGTTTTCACATCCTATCTAAGAAATTATTGCCTATACCAAAGTTTCAAAGACACTTTCTTGTTTTAGTTTTTATGTTTTAGATTTATGAAACATCTCAAATTAATTTTTTTACATAGGGCATAGTAGGGGTTGAGGTTCATTTTCTTCTCATGTTTATCCAGTTCTAAAACCATTTGTTGAAAAACTTTTCATATGTCAATTGAATTGCCTTGGCACCATTAACAAAAATTAATCTAGCAACTCTGTGTGAATCTATTTCTTAGCACTCCACTATGTTTAATTAGTTTATTTGTCTCTCGGCATATTGATACCACAGTGTGTTTATTACTGAAGCTTTATAATATGTATTGAAATCAGGTAGCCTGAGTCCTCCAACTTTTTCTTCAAGATTTTTAATATTAGTTTTGGCTCTATGACTTGCTCTGGCTCATGGAAGGTGGGTGGAAACAAGAGTGCATTTCTGAGTGTAGGCTTGAAGATCCACTGCATGTTTCCATCAGCCTTTTGAGCATCTTCCCTTTACCATGACAAAAACATCCCCTAGATGGGGACTAATCCTTCAGCCTGGGCCGCAGAATGAGAAGGTATGTGGAGCGGATTTGAACTGTAATTTGTGGCAGAGCAATAACACCTTACTCTCACCCAGGAGCCAAGCTCATGTAAGTCCTGCTGATATGGTTAGGTTTTATGTCCCCACCCAAATCTCATCTCAAGTTGAAATCCCCATAATCCCCACAGGTTGAGGATAGGACTTGGTGGGAGGTGACTGGATCATGGGGGCAGTTTCCCAAACACTGTTCTCATGATAGTGAGTGAGTTTTCATGAAATCTGTTGGTTTTTTAAGTGTTTGTCATTTCTTCCTACACACACTTTTCCCTCACCTGCCGCCATGTAAGACATGCCTGCTTCCCCTTCTGGCATGATTGTAAGTTTCCTGAGGCGTCCCCAGCCAAGCAGAACTGTGAGTCAATTAAACCTCTTTCCTTTATAAATTACCCAGTCTTGGGCACTTCTTTATAGCAGTGTGAAAACAAACTAATATACCTGCAGAGCCTGATAGAGCCAGTCATAACGGTAGCTCACCTATGAGCTAAAAATCTTTGATATTTAAAGGGTGTTTATTACAGCAGCAATAGCTGACTGACATAGGTGATATAGGTGGGGATTTCCTCAGGATCACAAAGCTTCCCTATATCTCCTAAACAACACTTGGAATCACAGCAGCAGAAGTTTTGGGCCAGTGCAGGTCTGAATCTTAACTTCTTTGAGCTCCAGGTTCTTAAGCTAAAAAATGGCTTCTTTGGGTTGGTGTAACCATTAAGTAAGATAGTTTATGTAAAGCCTATAGCCATGCTGAAGACATACAAGATATGCCTTTTACCTCCTCAAGCATGCTGCAAGGAGCAGTGAAAAATACTTGAGGACAGAATGAATGAATGGATAAATCCTTCCACATCTGAGTGCTCAGTCACTGGAGCACTCAGAAGTCTGTATGTCCTCCTGTACCTTTCTTCTTCATCACTGCTGGTTCCTTCTTCAGCTTCTAACTTATCTTGATACTCCTCCCCTCTCGGTGAAGTTTCATTCAGCTTCAAGCATGGATCCTAAGGCAAAAAAAAAAAAAAAGCCAGATGAGCTTAAGTACAGCTTCATGATTCAACCTGTGGCTTATTCAAATCAGAAAGCAGAGGAGAGGGAGCCCCCAGCAACCCACTATTGGTGCTCAGCTTGCAGGGGGTGCCAATGCTTGTGATGATGGCGTGACTAGAACAGTGCCTGGATTACTACGGTCAATGCCAGCCTTTAACCCTGTATCCTGTTTTTCAGTCTAGGAAGCATTTCACACTGCTGATAAATCTAAAGCATAAAGAGAGGAAGTAACCTGGCTAGGGTGCCACCATCTGTGAGCAGTGGAAATGAAATATGCAACTGGGCAGTAGGACCCTGGGGACTGAATTCTTGACCTCTTCCTGATATGGTTCTATGCATAACCCTCAGAGAGAGGACCTTGTTTTCTTGTTAAATCTGCTGCACAGGGCTGCTGTGAAGACCTGAGAACAATGCCGGCTTACGGCTAGTGGTGTGTTTAAGTGTGAGTGATTGGTGTTATTATTACATCCGTTTTACAATTTGTAGTCTGCTATGTCCCATTATGTAGAATCAGAAGACATGGAACTTGCTGAATGACCAGAAATGGGGTAAGGGAGGAGAATATGGAAACTATTAGTTAACAATGAGGCTTCTGAATATTTTATGAATTGGATTTGCAAATGTTATCATTCCCCACTTCCCACAGAAATACGTAGGTGAAAAAGATCCTGTTATTTTGATTTTTCTATTTGTCGTAACCACTGTCCATGAAAACAGTATAAGACAGGGTAGGAACAGATTTATCTCATGAAATAGTGATAACAGTAACCTGTGCTTTTCACTAACTGGTTGCGTGGTCTTGAGCCAGTCTCTTTCCTTTTTTGGACCTGAGTTTCATCAGCTGTGAAACAAAGGGGATGGCTTACACCTATGGTCAAACTGTGTTCCAGGGATCCTGGGAGGTGTCTCAGGGGTAGAAAGGGGCAAAACTGAGGCCTCGGGCTTCCATCCCTCCTTGATCTGGAACAAAACTGCTTTGGTTGCCTTTTGACATACTGTAATGTCTATGAAAGGCCATCAGTGTCAAGACCAATGAAGACCTCCACATTGCCAAATACAAGGGACGATTCTTGGATCTGAGCTAACTGGGCCTCCTAGCAGAATTGGAAATATTGATGATTCCTTCTTTTATGGAGCCTTCTCTCCTGGGCTTTTTCCTCTCCCATCAGTTGCTGCTTCTCAGTCTCCCCTGCTGAAGCCTCCTTCTCTCCTGCTTCTCAAACTGCCACATGTCCAGAACCAAACTCTTGATTTTACTCCTCCAAACAGCAAGCATGCACCTGGCTCAGGGCTTTGTACTGGCTTTTCCTTCTTCTCCCTGATATTTGCATTCCTTGCTCCCTTACTTCACTTGCTGCAACCAGGAGACTGTCCCTGGCTTAAAGCTTAGGCTCTAGTACCAGACAACCTGTGTTTAAATGCCAGATCTTTTACTTATTAATGATGTGACCTTGGGAAAATTACTTAGGTTTTCACGAGGATTAAATGAGCCAATACATGTAAAGCTTTTAGAGTAGTAGCAGGTACCTAAGGTACATTCAACGCTCAAGTTTATTCCCTGGGATTCTTTTTTTTTTTTTTCAGATGGCATTTCACTGTCACTCAGGCTAGAGGGCAGTGGCATAATTTCAGCACACTGCAACCTCTGCCTCCTGAGTTCAAGCAATTCTCGTCTCAGCCTCCCAAGTAGTTGGACCTACAGGCATGCACCACCATACCCAGCTCTTTTTTTTTGCATTTTTAATAGAGGGGTTTCACCATGTTGCCCAGGCTGGTCCTGAAGTGATCTGCCCATCTCGGCATCCCAAAGTGTGGGGATTACAGGCACAAGCCACTGTTCCCAGACTGTTCCCTGGGATTCTTATTCCCTAGACACCTTCTCTAAAATCCCACCCCATCTCACTCTCTTTTCCTCACCTTGCTCTATGTTTTCTCAAAGGAAATATCATGGCCTGACGTTGATTTGTCTATTTTTAAATTATCTGTTTCCCTCACTGGAAGGTAAGCTCCATGAGTGCAGGGGCTTTGCTCACCTGTTTCCCTCATGCCTAGAACAGTGTGTGGCACATGTGAGTCATTACTAAACCAATAAACACAAATAAGTCACGGGCCACTCCAGGATAGCAGGAGGACCACTCTCTTCCATACTTGCCCTACACCCACTTTTTTTTTGTTGTTTTTTGTTTTCTTTTGTTTAATGATACAAGATTTCGCTCTCTTGCTTAGGGAAGAGTACAGTTGCAAAATCATAGCTCACTGCAACCCTGACTTCTCAGACTCCTGATCCTCCCACCTCAGCCTCCCAAGTAGCTGGGATTACAGGTATGCACCACCATGTCCAGGTACTTTTTACATTCTCTGTAGGCACAGGGTCTTGCTATGTTGCCTAGGCTGGTCTGAAACTCCTGGGCTCAAGTGATCCTCCTGCCTTAGCCTCACAAAGTTCTCATATTTACAGGTATAAGCCACAGCATCCACCCTTCACCCACTTTACATCCCAGGGAAGGAAGGGCCTGGGACTTCTGCTTTGTCGTGAAAATCCCCTGGGCACATGGCTGGAGGGTGGTGTGTGGAGATGACTGTCGCCCAAACTTTGAGTGTTTTCCTGCTTTGCTTTAGAAACCCTTTATGCTTTTATGATTTATAAATTCAAGTTCCATTTAAATGATTTGCATTGCCTCTAAATGTAGCAGAATACCATGTGATGCCCACTCCAGAGAATCAGCATGGCGATGGCACTTGGGAATCCACTGCCCACTGTGCCCAGGAGGACCTGTCCTGGGGCCTTCCGAAGTGATGGCCTGAGAGAGTAAACATCTGCTCCGCCTCCCACAGCTTTTCTCTCTAAGCCTTTATCTTCCCTGGAATGTTCTGTGTTAACTCTGCTAAGCCAGAGCTACATTTGCCAGGACTTTCTTCTCTGTGTACTCTGGTCCATGTGACTTTGCATAAAATGTGGCAGATGAATCTCCACACTGTCTTCCACAATGGTTGGACTAATTTACACTCCCACCAACAGTGTAAAAGTGTTCCTATTTCTCCACATCCTCTCCAGCATCTGTTGTCTCCAGATTTTTTAATGATCGCCATTCTAACTGGCGTGAGATGGTATCTCAATGTAGTTTTGATTTGCATTTCTCTGATGACCAGTGATGATGAGCATTTTTTCATATGTTTGTTGGCCTCACGTATGTCTTCTTTTGTAAAGTGTCTGTTCATATCCTTTGCCCACTTTTGAATGGGCTTGTTAGTTTTTTTCTTGTAAATCTGTTTTAGTTCTTTGTAAATTTTGGATATCAGCCCTTTGTCAGATGGGTAAACTGCAAAAATTTTTTCCCAATCTGTTGGTTGCCGATTCACTCTAATGATTGTTTCTTTTGCTGTGCAGAAGCTGTGGAGTTTGATTAGGTCCCATTTGTCTATTTTGGCTTTTGTTGTCAATGCTTTTGGTGTTTTGGTCATGAAGTCCTTGCCTACACCTAAATTCCATTTGACCCAGCAATCCCATTACTGGGTATATATCCAAAGGATTACAAATCGTTCTACTATAAGGACACGTGCACACGAATGTTCATTGCAGCACTGTTTACAATAGCAAAGACCTGGAACCAACCCAAATGCCCATCGATGATAGACTGGATAGGGAAAATGTGGCACATATACACCATGGAATATTATGCAGCCATCAAAAACGATGAGTTTGGGTCCTTTGTGGGGACATGGATGAACCTGGAAACCATCATTCTCAGCAAACTGACAGGTGAGCAGAAGATCAAACACCGCATGTTCTCACTCATAGGCGGGTGTTGAACAATGAGAACACATGGACACAGGGAGGGGAGCACTACACACTGGGGTCAGTTGGGGGGAAATAGGGGAGGGAGGGTGGAGGGTGGGAAGCTGGGGAGAGATAGCAAGGGGAGAAATGCCAGATGTAGGTGATGGGGAGGAAGGCAGCAAATCACACTGCCATGTGTGTTCCTATGCAACAATTTTGCATGTTCTTCACATGTACCCCAAAACCTAAAATGCAATAAAATAAATAAATGGGAAAAAAAATGTGGCAGATGGAAGTGAAGCAGCAATCATTTCTTTGTGACGCTTGGATGCTTGAATGTAGCAACACGCCTGGTGCTGTTGCAGCTTACACACGTCATTGCTGATCAGCTCTCTCACCTTGTTGGCCAGGGCAGGTTTTGGGCTCTCAGCTCCTTCAGTTCTTGCTGGTTTCTCCTTGACTTCTCCCTATGCTGGGCCAGTGTGTACAGCTCCTGAGACAGCAGCCAGGCCTGAAGCTCCTCCCACACCTGCTGGATCCTCCTCAGGCTTCTCCCTATCCCCGGCCAGGTGCATGTTTAGCTCCATGATGAAGGATGCCTGATTCTCCTATGGGTCACCTGCATTAGCAAGGTGGAGCCTTGTTGGCTTCAGATACCGACATGGTTTAAGCCCAGCCTTGTGGGCCACAGTTCGTTCTTAATCTTCCTCACTTCACTTCTGTCCTTCTTTCCTTCCAGCGGCCGCCCTGTTGACTTTAGGCCCACCATCAGGCAAAGAAGCAACAGTTGAACTTAAAGTGTAGCTGGCTCCTTCAACTACGCTAGGCCAGTTCCTAAATTTAATCTCATATCCAACATCATTCTTAGTAGCTTGTTTCTATGATAAGACCCTAATTGACTCACCCTTTCATCTCTAGATCCTACTTATTCTTCAAGGCACTATTCAACTGTTACTTCCTCATGAAGACTTCACAATCTTTTGTTGCAATTACACCTTCTCCTTTTAAAGTTCTCATAACAATTTTTTTTTTTGCTACCACAATTTTCTTTTCGTTGTCATTGTTTTGTTTTGTTTTTTGAGGTGGAGTTTTGCTCTGTCACCCAGGCTGCCGTGCAGTGGTGTGATCTAGGCTCATTGCAACTTTCATATTCCACGTTCAGGCGAGTCTCCTGCC